AGTAAAAATTACATTGGGTTTTATTCAAATAATTAAAAGCATTTAGAGGAAAAGCCTAACGTTAACTAATTTGCATGGAGAATACCTTGAACCCCGACAATCAAATGTGTTTTTCATAGTATTCTGCAATAATTTTGAATATCATCTTTCTATCTGAAATACAAGAACTTTTCTGGTGAATGTGCATGTGTTGCTAATCCTCAGCTGCCTGCAGTGCCTGAAGCTGTAGACTGTTGACCACAGATTTTAAAGTAATCACAAAACAATACAGAAATATTGATTTATTTTATTTTGCTTCATTTCGTTCCTAACTTCTTGACAGCAAAGGGTCAAATAGAGTCAGTTAGGTGTACTAACAAAGTATCAGTACTAAATAATTTCTGCTCATCTCCCCTGGCTTCTCAGTGTGACCTTCAGCTGCTCATACATCTCTAACTGCTCATGACAACAGAACACAAAGCACTCAAATGGCATCCTTTTCATCTGTTCTAACACTTTTTTTTTTCATATTTTATGAAGTGAATCTCCGATATCTTGCCACAACTTGGTATATATTTGAACTATCAGTTCTGCAACCAACCTAGCAATTGGTTCATCATCAACATACCATTTTCAGACTGCTCTTGTTAACTGAATATTCTTTCAAACCATTGCCGTTTGCTTCACATCTCTATCACGTGTATTCTTGCCACAAAGTGTTAAGAGTTCAAAGGTCAACTGGATTCTTTCCACCAAAAATAAGCAAAGAATTTCTGACTTTCTCTGAATTTCTGCAAGTGTTTCTTTCTTTCTTATACAGTTTGCTTGCTTGCAAAACAAACTTGTCAAAATACCACTTTATCTACTTCAGCACCAATTTGTACTGAAATTCATTTCTTTCACTAACCACATCTTAAACTGACCTTTATCTTAATAATATATTAATATAATATTATTAATCTGTTAGTGAAACTGTCTCAGTCCAATTACAAATCCCTTACTAACAAGTGTTCTAATAACTTTAAACATTTTAAAAAATTATTCATTGCATTTAGTAGATCCTTCAGATTATAAAAAATAATACTGCATTCCTTTTAATTTTTCTCCCAGTTTCTTGATTATTACAATAAAAGGAGATAGTTATTTGAGGTTCTTCTCTGCTATCACACAGGTATTTGCAGGTGGAATTTTTGGAGTTTTCCAAATAATTATGTAAGCTAAAAAACAGCTTTCTGAAATGAGTATACACATTTTATGTATTAATTTTAAAATAAACATTCTTACTGATGCCCCTATCCTTGTAACATCTAAAGGATCAGATGTAGTTCCATATTCTCTTATCTCAACATTACTATTTCTTTCACTATTTACTTTCAACCATCCCACTTTGGCAGCAGACTGCTGTGTAAATATAAGGAATCACTGTATACTTTAAAAAAAAAAACAAAGTAAAGCAAAGCCAGACTCTTAAGCTTACTTCCTTTTCATTATTATTATTAAGGACTACATTTAGCAGTCATGTTTGAAAGACTGAAATAGGACACTTTTTAAGATAAGACAATTTTTGTGGGGGATAACAGCTGAGACCTAATAGTATGAATTTCCAACAGCAAATCTATCTATACACCATAATGCAAAATTATACATGAACAACTTACTGACACCAGCACCAGCTGCCGTACGTTCAGTTAAGAGCATGTTACTTCCTTTGATCATAACACTCCTTTTTATGGGTTCTTAACTTTCTACGTTTAACGTTTTCAGAAAGAGACAGTGTGAACTGTAATGGCCCCAGAGCAACTATTACAGCTGTCAGAGATATAAGTACTGTTAAACATTTAGCAAAAGTATTTACAAAATAGGATTAAAGAGACATTAGAATAGTCACTACAGACTATGGGATGATTAAGATACTCTCAAAAATCAAAGTCTTTCAATACTATGAAGTTGTCTGGTTCATAACACTAAAATATATTCTTTTTTGGTTTAATATTCTAATAACTACCTTTCTGTCTCTCCTGGCAGAGAGGAGAAACAGTAGGGAAAGATATAGTGCTGCTGGGAGCTTTTGGGATGTGGATTGTTTTATTGCCCCTTACCGTCATCACATTCATAATCTAATATTCCACCCATAAGAAATTAAGACATCTTCATGCAAACACAAGTCACAATTTCAAACAGACCCATTCACAGATGATAGAAAATTAGTTCCATATCACATTTACATTTTCATGTATGACTATGACATTTTTACACAGGCATAATGTCAGAAAATTAAACATGAGCAAAATCAAATATTATTATCATTGGCAAGAAATGGTAAATGTGAGCTAGCAGCAGAATTGAAAATACCTCCTCAAGATCTCCTATGAGTAATACTCTATGCCAAGAAAAATGTCACGGTCCAGAATACAGTTCAAAACTTTAGTTTAATTATTGTAACAAAAACATTTATTTTAGTTTACTCTGCTTTAACATAGGAGGAAAAAAAACACACATTGGATATTTTATTCTTCTACTGCGCCAGTTAATAAAACAGAAGAGCTTAGCATGATATTTATATTGTAAATCCATGTCCAGAAATATCTGCAACTACCTAATAAAATAACCACTAAAAAAATGTTTGAATAAGCAGCTTTTGGAACAAGACTACACCTCTGTGTTCAAAACTACCCTTTAGAAATCTTAAATTGCTAAGCAGCACAAGCCAAAGTGCATCTTTTAGTGTAATCACAGAAAAGCCAGAGAGCGAATGTTTGCAATATTTGCTGTAAAAAGTATGTAGAGGAAGGAAAATAAGAGACTGTAAGAGATGATTTTAAATTACTTCCATTTTCACTCCAAATGTGATACTTAACATATGATAACCTCAGGAAGGCATTGTCTTCATGGTGTTTCGCAGTGTGTCATACAACTGTGAATTAACCATCACAAAACAGTGTGTAATTGCATGTAATAATGTAAACAGTTATAGTATGGACAGTCATGAAAATAAGAGTAAAATTAAGAAATGCTCAGTAGAGTTTTTACAGTCATAACTTGAACAGAGTTTTCTCATTTTCAACTTGAAGAGGCAACGCATAATCTGTAATTTATATAAATAAAATCACTGAGTTCAAAATAATATGTTTTCTGGAAGCTACTTTCCAAAAGCACAGTCTCCCATGCCTGCACTCAATTAATACTGATCAGTTCCTTGATCAAAGCAGAACCATGTTTTTTTTTAAGTACTAGTACCACTATTGGATAAGGATTATGTTGGATAAGAAATGCAGCATTGATGCCCTACTGTAGTGTGAAGTGAAACATGCAGCTCAAACAAAAGAGCAATAAAAATAATTGTTTAAAGGTTCTGAGTTTTATTCAAAAAATAGTTTGCCTCATTTTGACAGTGTGTATCACATAGCTTGGTGAAGTCAAATTTTCCAGTATATAACAGCAAATGCTATGATGTATCTAGAAGATATTAATTCAGAATGCTTGGCCCCAGTGTATACTGCAACATGATCATTGAGTTCATCTATTTAATAGCTAAATGATGTAGGTAACAGATCAGTAATTCTTATTAAAACACTGCTTTGGTGGACAAGGGTTTCTACTTCATAGTCTAACAAAAATTAACCAATATAAGGTAATATTTGGTCAAGCAACTTCTAAACTTAAATTTTAAGGGGATATCAATTTTGAAAAATCTTAAACGCTTTGAGACATTTACTACAGTATATGAATATACTCTCTACAAATCACTTATATAATGCAAAATAAAATTCAGTTGAGGTGATTAGCAGTATGTCTTTTAATTGTGATATTGCGGATATAAAAGGAACATACTTTAAGTTACTTGACAGTTATATAATAGCTCCTGCAGCTGGTATTACCATACAAATTCGTCTGAAAACCTTTTTTGTTATCCACTACAGTCCTACACATCAATATTAAAAAAAAAAAAAAAAAAAAAAAAAAAAAGCAGTAGTTAGAGTAGGTCAGATACGTGTCTCTTGATCCACTCCAAAAGGGGTCAAATACCCAGTGAGCAGACAAAATTAAAGTCAGTAAGACTGGAAGATCCCAGTGGAGAGGAATTAATTTCACTCCCTTTGTAACTTTCATTTGATAGTTCAGAAGCATTTCAGGTCAATCATATTAATAGAGAGCAACTGAGTGAAAAGAAGCTAATGATGATCCAGAGCTAATTAGCATAACTATTTTCATTCCACCTCATATTCAGAATCTGACTTTTTTGATCAATGATGAAAATTGGCAGATAACAAAAGGATGTCTGTGACAGTTCAGCAGTTTTTAGTGACAAGCCCAGACTCTATGATGAAAACCAAAAATATAAGAATGCTTAGTAACTTAGTAAATAAGATTTAAAAGGGAAGACCAAAGCAAAACTTGAACAATATGGCTATTGACAAATAACATTATATTAGTTGATACTTCTTTTTAAGGAAGCCTATCCTACTTCATTTCTCTTCTCATTTTTCACATCAGCAAAGTTTTCTGTAGATCTGTTTCTCAAGGACAGAGAGGATTAAAGATAATAATAGTCACTGAATATGAGAAAAATTTTAATAAGAATCAAAAATGAGGTTACCTAGCTAAATGAATACAGTATCTGATATACTAGCACCTACAAAAAATAATCCAGATCTTTTAAATTATTGATTCTTCATAAATGGACACAACTCAATCTTTAAATGGCGGTAGGTCAGTATGCTACTGAAGTGATCGTGATATACTTATTTTTCAACATTTCTTGCTGTGTAAGAAATTCTGTTCTTATCTGTCTCAAACCTGCATTTGCTCAAATCCGGATACTTACACACAAGAAATTCAATTTGCAAATACATCCACTCATAGCCAAGAAAAATCTACATGTGTATGTTAAGATTCAAGCACAACTGATTAACTTGAAACAAAACATCTTTTGATGTAAGTTTTAATGAGGCTTATTTCTAGCTTACATCTGTTCACCTTGTCAACAAGTCTGAATATTACAAGAGATGTTTATACATTACCGTGTAATTAAACAACAGTCATGAATGATGCTGTCCTCCACAAATATGCCACTCTCTTCATCTGTTTCAATAAGTTGACCAGCATGGTACCAATGTACTTGGGTAGTTTTGTCAACGTAGGTTGCAGTACACTGAAAGGGCAAGCGGTCTCCATGAAAAACCACTTGTCTTTGTGAGGGGATCAGCTCGAAAAGAGGAAGCTCCAGAGGCCCAGCTGCAGAGAAAGCCAACAAATGTAAAGAGAAAAAAAACTCTCAAAATCTCAAAATTATTTTTTTGTCTTATGAATAAAGTGGACTAATTGTATACAAGTCTAACTTTCTAGATTATTAAAATACTAAGATAAAATATATGCCCACATATTATCCACTTAACTCTGACAATGATGTCAACCTTAGGAATCAGATCTTTTATTAACATGAGACCAGTGATTACAGAATTACTAGATTGTCCACAGAATGTATTTACAGAATAGTTCACAGAATGGTTGAGATTGGAAAGGATATGTTGAGATCTTCCAGTCTCATCTTCTGCTCAAAGCAAAATGTTTACTGCAGAGCTATACAGACAAAAATCAGTCTTCTGATTAAAGAAAAAGGTACACCTATCAATTCAGGCACAATTAACATTTACAAGACACTTCACTGTCAGAGGTTGAAATTGCCACTGAAAAATTCAGCCACTCCAGAGAGCCTAAACTATCTCATGTGCCTGGGATTTGGATACTGACAAAGCTAATAGCAGATGGTAAACTTTGCTCTCAAGTTCAACCATTATTTCTTATTTCATTGTTCCTTTTTCCTTCTGCCTCTTCCACAAGTCATCTTCATATTCTAGATGTTTACTCAAGATTAAATATTCATCTAAATCTCTATTTTACTATTTCATAGTGCAGTACATTTCATCACCTTTTTTTCCTGAACTTTCTCTTTCCTGTTTTTCCCTCAAAAATAGTCTCTAAGAACATATTCTAATCAGAGTCTTATGAAAAACAATTGCTATCATCACATACCCAAATTTGTAAGGTCAACTAAAAAAATAAAGAACATTTTAAGTTTGGAAGGCAAATACATTTTTGAGACTACTGGAAGACTCTTAGCTTCACAGCCTAAACAGAAATTAAAGGCTACATCTCTTAATAATGAATCTCTAAATGGTATTTCTTCCTTTCACATTTTATTAGTAGATTTTGAAAGTATCTGTTTCTGTAAAATATTTTCTATGCTTTGTTCGATTAATAATGATTTCTTGAAATTAACAGCAGATCATTGAAAAGGAGCATTCTTGGAAAGGTATTGAAACAGGCAGTCCACATCTAAAGAGAGAAGTGGAGATCGTGATTTATAGGTCAATAAGGAATAAAGGAAAACCATATCTTCTCTTTTTCTGATATAGACTGTTTAAGTAGGAAAATTATCCCCTCTGATACACTGTTATCATCATGTAAAAATTCTAGTGGCAATAAAAATTCTAAGGACTCACACACTTGATTGTAGAAGATGCTACCATGGAGAACCTGCATGATAATTCCTAAAATATACTGCATGATATTCCTAAAATATAACCTTTTCACTTCAGCCTACAATACCAAAAGAACTGAATGAGTCTGGGTGAATTTAACTGTATTAATACAATCTCATCTTAGCCACAATACCTGCCTACAGTTCTGCATCTTGGAAACCCCTCTAACTTGATGAGAAAACTGAATTTTTAAGCTATGCCCTCCTCCCCCTTATTTTTCTTCGACTTTCGTTTAAAAATGTCTCATCATTAATATCTATCCAGCCTACAGGGCTGTCAGTTGAAAGGTCACCCTTCCACATTTCCACCAGTAGTGAAAATCTCAACCATCTATTTTTCCAACAAATACTTTAACCTTTTTTTCTATTTCACTGCTTACAATCTTATCTTCAACTTCCTGCTTAAAATTCTCTGTTTCCTGTCACATATATACAGACGTACTTAACCAGAACACAAGCCATAATCACTGGTTCTAGCACTGCTAAAAACTGTGGACTACTGATAGCTTTTGTTCCTCCTTTACTCAGCATCCCACTCTAACACACTTCTTTATATCATTCAGATATTGTCTTTAGAAGAGTTAAATTGTGAGATGTTGCATTTATAAACATAGCTTTGGGCTCTCAATACTTTGAGGGCATTTAAATGTTAAATAGCATGTTCACCACCTATTTTGAATAAACAGTGAGAGGGATCATTTTGCTTTTTTCACAGAGAAGGAATGCTGGCCAGCATAATACGCAGGATTTGTGCATGAGTGAATTTGTGATATTGCTGCCTGGCAGTAGCACACAGAGGATTAAGGGGCTGACTGCTATCTACTAAAATGTTGTAAGCCTGCTGTGACTATAAAGGGCATGCTTCAGATATCACTCCTTATTTGCTCATGTATCTTCTGCTTGTGCCTGCATGGATACATTACTACAATTTCCTTGAAACATACTTAATATTTTTATACCATGTTGGACTTCTAACTAAAAGAAGAGAAAGTAAACCAGATCATTACTCCATTTATAACAGTTACAGGCTTGGTGATTTACATTAGACATTTTTACTTGAAGACTGAGACTACCCTGTCTCCAAAACTCTACAGTCTTTATTATGAAGTCAAGTATAGAATACAAGCAAAGTTATTGTCTGCAGACATAAATTAACAGACTGATCTCTTTATCCTGGTTACATTCAAATATCCCAAACGAAAGAAAATAAAAGCAGAGTCCAGAAAATTAAACTCACTGTCATAACTACAACAGCAGTACACAGAACTCACAGAAATCAAATCAAACTTTTCATTAATCTCTCATTTTTAACTTGACAGTGTTGTATTACGTCAAACATAAGTTGTTTTCTCAAGCAGTGAGTGACACATTGTGTTATGAGGCTACAAATTAGTAAGTGCAAACTAACCTATCAGTATATCTTCAGTGAAACTATGCAAGTTGCCACGACATAAAGATGTCGTGTATCACTAACCGCAATTTTATCTATGCCATTATAGCTGGTTATCACTTCTCTTGTTCAGCCCTGGGAGTAAGACCAAACTCAGAAATGGAGTACAGATGAACTATTCCATGCAGATTTTCAAAATTAACAGAAGCAAATTAAACTTTTCTTTTTTCATTGCAGCGTATCAAAATGACAAAAATTATTAACATCAATGACATCAGTGATCTGCTCTTTCCTTACAAATCATACAAGTACCAACAAAGATGCAGAGTGAAGATAACATGCTTTGGCTAATCATTAGGATAGAATATCTTTCTGACCACCTGAATCCTTTTGGAATACACATACTTTGTTTGCACAAATTGACAAATAATGCTGAAAGCACATTTACAAAGTAAAACTTGTACAATTTCTATGGAAGGAAGGTACATTTGAATATTTCTACAACACATCTGTATGTCTATTTAAAAAATGATTGCCAGAGTTAATCTGTTATTTTAAAGGGGTAATCATCATTTAAGTGACTGGGACTGATTCTGCAACTATTACTCATGCAAAAGTTCCAGTTGACTTCAGAGACAGCTCACAGAGACAAGGATTAATTGCACAAATACAAGTTTTAGGATTAGCGCCAATACCCTTTATCCTGAATGGCTATAAAATGACTGCATAGTTTCACCAGCACCTGTTGGGAATGCATACTTATTTTAAATCCATAATTCTACAAGCCTTTAAATTCATCATTAAAATAAAAGTATTTACGAATGCTGTAAATAAATTCTCAGGCTTCAATGGGGATAAAGAAGTAAAAAAGACAGAGATTCGGAAAGTATTTGAATGATTTTGGCATTGATTTGACAGCACTTTTGAAATATAACAGCTTTGGCAACAGAAATTTTCTCTTTGATTAGGAGATTAATGCCAACTAAGTATCTGTAAACTCTGAAGTTTTATGTATATGTAAATACAGATGTAAGTGTCTCGTAAGATTTAAAATAGTTTGCAGTTTTCTTTTTCTTTTTTTTTCCCCAAGATGATCCACTCTGCTGCCCTTAAGTCTGGAGTCAGCACCATCAGCAAATGAGAGGTGTGAATCTCCTATGAGCATTTAGACCAACAGCTGCTGAAGTGTTTTACAGTCTTCACCTGTCTTGTCTCTCCAGTCAGCATTGAACCATGATTGCAGCAGAGCACCACAGGAATCACTGATTGCAGCATGAATCTAAAGGTCTAACCCATCATTACAGTAATTACACCTTTTTCTTTCTCTCTCATTCCTCAGCAGAAAAGGTTTTTGTTGACTGAAGGCCCTATTCTTTATGCTATCACATCTTGCATTTCAGATTAGCTCTAGACAAGAACACTGAAGGCATATCGAAGAGGAATCAGGTTGCACACACACCACTGTATCTGAATATTACCTAAGAATACTTCTCATAGAGACTACATTTGTGCACATTTTTATGCATGCGGTGCCCCAATATATATAGGAAGTTGAAAAGAAAATAGAAACGATTTTAATAACCATTAACTAGAACAGAAGGGTAACAAGCTATATCAAAGTTTCAATGTGTATTCCTTTAGTTATAAACATTATAAACATTATAAAACAATTCATGATGCACAACTAGGAATATTTGATGCTTTTTTCCCCTCTCAATTCACATTTTGAGATCTTAATAATAGTTTGATTTTCCTTACAATTTTGTCCTTTTCTGTTCACTATTTAAAAATATGGAACGTGAAGGAATCACTGCTATCACTGGATACACGTGGAAGACAAATGTTTCTACAGATACCTTGGAGATGGAGACGTACAATGCATCTCTAATCTGTACTTTGGTTACATTATATGATCACATTTGAATATGTACCTATAATGTACCTGTTTTAACAATCAAAATTATGGAAACTCAAAAGCTGGTTCATGCAATAGGACTACATCAAAATTACAGAAAATAGGCTGATCATTAGACCAACACAAAATAGTGGACACATGAGCACAGAAAATGAAAGCATGGCCCACCTCACAGTATGTTACATTTTCTCCTCTATATATAGCCTGCAAAAGTTTAACAGCTCCTAACAGCAATATCCTGGTTACCACACTGGAGCATTTAGACCAGTACACAGTTTTCTGCTATACATTTTGTGGGTTCTTTAACTGGCTTTGTCCATACTCATCGCATTCACATGCCAAGAAGTAGAAAATTCCACAGTCTATCCAGGCTGCCTCCACATCTATGC